GGGGGGGGGGGGGGGGGGGGGGGGGGGCGGGGGGGAGTCCAGATTTGTCCTCGTTCAGCATCTGTTGGTCAGTTTTACATCCGTCCCCCCCACCTGCTCTGTCTCTTACTCTCCTCTATCATCATCATCATCATCATCATCATCACCCTCTCTTCTCTCCATCTGCCCCTCTCAGACAATTTTTTGTTTTTATATTACTTATTAAACAAGCAGAGAAACTGACTGTAAATAAAAAGAAAAACAGTGCAACAAAAACCTGAAGGTTAAATATAAATAATACATAAAATACATATAACATAGTGGTTATAATAGGGCTTCCAAATAATCACCTGATAATTTAAATTCAATAAATAAATTAAATGTTACAATTTCAATAAGGCCACCCAAAAATAGCTGTAAACCTAAATCTAAATAATAAATGAAATTAATTTAAAAATATAGATATTTCAATAAATACAATTAATAAATAAAATAAATAGTGTGATTTCAATTGGGCTACCCCAAAAAACCCTGAAAATTCTAATGTAAATAATAAATAAAATTATTTTTTTTAAAAAGATATTATTTAGATTTTAATAGGCCAAGAAAAACTGAACATTTAAATATACACAAAATAAATATAGTGATTTTAATAGAGTTCCATTGCATACGCGTCCAAACTGGTGAAATTATTATTTTATTTTATTTTATGGGTCTCGTGCTTGGTCATGAAACATGGTTCAATAGCGAAACTTCAACAAAGTTGCTCACGTGGTACGTTTCTCGTAAACGTACAAAATTTGGGAGGCACATGTAACATCCCAAGACTAAAAAAAAAAAAAATCCCTTGGTGCCATATCATAAACCCAACCCTTTTCATTTATTTATTAATTCATTTTCAGGGCATTTACAGGAGCTGCAGTTAACTGAACTCTTAAAGCTCTACCTTTGATCAACTTCAAATCTGGGCAGTATTATCTAAAGACCCTGGTGAGGCTACAGTGCGGAGCTTTTGAGCTTGCGTCAAACAGTGTGGCCGTGGCAAGGCGTTAAATTTCCACATTTTGGGTTTCACATTTATAGATGCTTTAAAGGTTAGAGATCTTCGTAGATTGTTGCTGATGTTACAGATATTAAAGTCTGGTACAGATGTTGAGGAAAGTTCAGTTTTAGCACTATTAGGGCAGAAAAATAAAAAATAAAAATGTTTGCTGTGTCTTCTTTAAGGGGACCCTAAACTATCTCGATGTGGCCAGATGTTTGTACAGGTGTTTTTAGCCCTGGGTTTCACCTCTCAGGCTACACACAGGCTGATTGGTGGAGGTCAGTGGGTCGCACAGAGCCTGAGAAGAAACTAAGCAGACAGAACTCAGGGATAAATACTCACTGTGCCCTACTTTGTATATTTTAGGAAAATCATTAATTGAATACATAATTTAATTGATTTGTTGACCTCATGTGAAATGTAAACGCTTGTCCTACAGAGATGCTCTAACCGCATCACACATAAGAACAGTGAGGTCTGGAGACAAAAATTCATTTTAAGTGATGAAAAAAAATGTTGAAATCTTTTGCTTTATTAAAGGGCCAGTGTGTAAAATGGGTTGAAAACAGTGACATCAGTGGTCAAATTCTAGATTGCAGGGCTCACTCTCTCACCCCTCCCGTCGGGTAAATGACAGTGGCCTCGTAGGAACAAAAAGCCTTGGGCACGCGTTTTTCAGGAGTAGGTCTATCTAGCGACGAGGTGAATGTTTATTTAGAAATCTAAGCCATGTTACGATATTGTAATGAATCCCTCACGAGCAGGAGACCAGAGGAGCATTCGGGAAAAAGGCCAGTTTATTTGAGCACTCCAAAAACTCCGGTAACACTCCAGGGGGTAAAAGACTCCGTCCCAAACTCTGACTCTTCTAGCGTAACACACACACTTCATACACACATACTCGTTTACCATACCGAGTGGGGACCCCCCTCCCCTCTCTGCTCCACCAATCTCCAGCCCGCACACTGACTGACAGCGTAGCCGGTAAACAGAGCTCAGCTGTTTATTTAGCCTAGCTATATCTCCGGACTATAGTAGCTGCAATGGACGACTTTGAACGCGATTTTGAAGAGTTTCTTGTAGCGGACACAGACCCAGAGCCATACCTGTTTGAGCCTGAGCATACAGATGAGGAACTCTATGTGTTTGATGCTGAGCGAGCGAGAAGAGAGGCTGAATGCACAGAATGGGATTCGGTGCTGCCATTGTTGGGGAGATATATCACCAGGAGGAAAAGCGCCGCAGAGAGTGCATCACAAGGAGTGAAGTTGCGTCTTCTTTTCCTCGCAGATGACGGTTCGGGTTCATTCTCTCCTGTTGCGTGGTAAGTGTGGTCCATTCGCAAACTTTATAACTAAAAAATTTTTTCACTACTCTCTATCGACGAACTACTAACACTCTCTACTGTTTCCTCCTCCTTCTTCCTTCCGCTGTCTTCGTTGGTTCATTTATATACGCGAAACGCGTTCTCTGGCTGGATTGTCCGCTCGGTCTGCCATACATACATGGCGGTGCAAGATGGCGACCTCTCTAGAGCAAGGCCCTTGCTATATATGTATATAAAAAAGCATAATTATAAGGCTACGAAAACCAAACGAATTTTATTTTATAGCGATTATACACTTGTATAAACATATTAATAGGTAGAATATTCAGATTCAGATTCAGATTGACAATAAACCATGCCAAATATTACACACTGGCCCTTTAAATTCTATTCAGTTTTGTGGCCAAAGATGAAAATATAGACTCAAGTCTCCATGTTTTTATGAATGAAACTGTGGGAAATGTGACCTGCTTACTGACCTGGTTTCCTAATGATTACATCCTGTTTACATGTACATGAGTTTAAAAAAAATATGCTCCTACAACTCCCTCATCAGTGGATGACACACAACCAGGTTTTAACGTAATAAATGTCACTGAAGCAGCTGTACAGAAACAAATATGCTCTTTAAAAATGTGTTTGGAATCGACATCACACTCCTACAGAAGAGTCGTCCTCCAGTTTGTCTGTGGAGTTATTAATGCATCCTTTAATCAGAGGGTAAATCCTGCAGCCTGGAAATCAGCTATAATTACACCTATTTTTAAAGCAGGTGATACAACCTGTATGAATAATCACAGACCTGCCAGTGTTCCTCCTGTAATGTTAAAGGGAGCAGAAAATGTGTAGCAGCACAACAGACAACAGTCCTTTCACTCTGCACCCTATGCAGTTCAGTTTCAGACTAAATCTCTACACTACATCAGCCAACTGTTAGCTTGTTGGAAATATGACAGTTGAACTCGATAAGGAGGGAGCTGTGTGTGCAGTGTGTTTCTCAACGCTGACACAGTCAATCATCCTTCTCATAAAAATGCCAGGATATATTTTTTCTTCTGCTGCTTTATTCTGGTTCAAATCCTTCCACAAAAACAGAAATCAGTGTGTGAGGATGAAGGATTCGGTGTCACCAGCTTCCAGCTGTGATGTTGGAGTGCCCCAGGGCTCTTCGCTTGGTCCACCCCTCTTTAGTTCTTACGCCAATGACTATGTTTACACGCACACTAATATTCCAAATACGACAATATTCAGAATTTGATGAATAATTTAATTTACTTTGTCATGTAGACAGCATATTCTATTTAAAAAATTTAAATATAGCATTTCCGATTAAGGCATAGGAAATATCCATATTATTCCGTTTTTATGCATGTATATATAGCGAGTTCAGAAAATGCATCTTAACCATCGGCATTTAAATCAAATGTCTGGATTTTTTAACACGGAAGTAAAGAAGGACTTGGAAATGACATAAGTGATTTACACACCTCACACTCCAGCCAAGCTAACGCTAAACCCACGCAAGCCTAAAATCAGCCAACACTGGACACACTTAGCTCGACAAAACTACATTTAAATACTTGCATGATGACTGTTGGATGGAGTCTGAAAACAAATCACTGCCTAAAGACTGTGTCACTGTAACTGATGTGCACATAACAATAAAAAACAAACAATGTGATTTCCAGTAGAGGTAGAATTTTCCTTTCTTTCTTCGATTTCCAGCGAGCTCGTTGTTTCATCATCCTTTGTTTTCTGGATTTATATAAATGTGCGTCTCCTTTTTGGGCTTCATGACTTTCCTCTACTTCTGAAAACAAACACACTCTCGCCTCCATCAGCATATTTTCCACCCTGATTCTTTCAGTCCCACCTGCTCCATCACCTCCCCTCCCCCGCCTCCTCCCCCTCTATCCCATGGTACAGTCCTCCCACATGTCGGTCGCCCGGCTGCCAGCTGGAGTGAAGCAGACAGACGGTTAACAGCCTCCAACCAGCGAACTGACGATTAATGAGCTAAAAATACTCCTCAGATCCTGGATCTGTGTGACGACACGCAGTCTA